AGTACAGCACGCACAGCTCCGGGGCAGGGAGGGGGCACCGGCAGGTTTTGCTTCCCCCCCTGCCTGTCGCCTGTGAATCCTCTGGCAGCCTCTGGGTCAGGCTTCCCTCGGTGTGCTCGGGAGCGGCGCCAAGGAGGGGGTTTCTAATTAGGTTTGCAGTGGGAGGAAGACGGGGAGGAAGGAGACCTTGCAAACTGCAAGTGCTGGATCTCACAGCAGCGAGAGCAAAGGCAGGGCTGAGGAAGCAGAGCCCCGGTCCCTGCCGTGCCCCTCTCCGGCTGTGCGGGAACAGCAGCTGCTCCTGGGGGCACCTCGTAGGGGCAGCATCGCCCCTGCTCCCGGGGTGGGGGGACAGACCCCCCCCTTTTGCTGCTCTGACATTCAAGCGTTCGAGCCCTGTTCATTTCCATTCTGCTCTCATTCTCCCATTTTTCTCTTTTATTTACACTGCCATCTGCTCGCTCTCATTTCATCTCTCGCCTGGGGAAAGCTGCCAAAACTTGACTACAGAAAGGTAAGGGCCAGGCCCCGGCTGCTGTCGGTGGGAGCTGGGGTTGGCCACGTAGATGTTAGCAGTAGTGCTGGAGAGGAGGGGACACGGTGGCCAGGGAACACCAGGGCCACAGCACAGTGCCAAGACCTGCGTCCTCCTTGGATCTGGGCTGGCCTGGCTGGTGTCTTGGGGACGATGTCTCAGGCCCCCAAGGAAGGTGCCATCAGGATGTGTCCCAACTACAGAAGCTCATGCAGCCTCTTGCTACCAACAGCTGTTAAAACCTGGACTCTCAACCACATGAGAAGTGTTTTTCATTCTCCCTTCAATAACCCCCCCAAATAACCTTTTTTCTCCCTTTTGATCTTTTTGCTTCTATTTATTTTAATCTCCAGCAGTTCTATATCTGCTGATGTCCCTCACAAGTCCCATTATTGGCTCCTGGGGAGTGGGAAGGGGGTTAGTAAGCTCTTGGCAGCACCAGCAACAGGTTAAATCCAGTCATTTGTGCTCCACCACTGATTTTCTGCCTTGGAGCCATCAGCTACTCTATTGTGCAGGAGATTGGGGTGTTGCCCTGGTGGCTGGTGCCTGGGGACATCTGAGGTAGTTCTCAGTGTATGTTCTCAGCAGGATCTGCAAGATGCTGGGTGTAACCAGACCCTCAGGCCAGCCTATATCCCAAGTTTGGATGGAGCTGGAATAGGGAATGAGGGTCTTCATTGTCTGCTGGGTCTTACAGGGCCCAAGCTGCTGCACGGAGTGAGATAACAACCTGCTGCAGGGGGATCTGCAGGGCTGTGGGGCTGTCCTGGAGCTCTGTTGGTCTCCTGCTTTCTGGAGTGAGATGCCCTGGGTGAGCCTGAGGTGGCTGTGCAGGCAGTGGTGCAGGCAGGTGCCTGGCTGCAGGCAGGCCATGCAAAGCAGATGCTGCCTGTACCTGGGCTGCTCTCCCTGCACCACCAGCTGCAGCTGCAGCTAGAAAACACCTGGGAGTTTCCACCCTACTGAGCATTTGGATGTTCCCCCTCTTCTAACTGATGCCAAGCACCCAGGGTCTGCACTGAGCATCACTGATCAATTTACTCATAAATATTTATCAATCTCGTCTTGGAGGGTTGGTTGGATCCTCTGGGCTGCCAGGGTGGAAGCACAGGGTTTGCCCTGTTTCAGAATGGGATGCCTTGGCCCAGAGTGAGGTATCCAGGTGGGTTTTTGGGCAGCCTGCTCACCAGACAGGCAGCTTGTTGCAGGGTGAATGATGGAATGAATCCATCTCCTCTGATTTCTGGATGCCTCTAGCGCGGCGTTAATCGGCAGCCCGATTAGCCCAGCTCGTAATTAAATCCTATTGATTAGCTAAATGTCACTGGCACAGAGAGCAGCTGGCAGCAGCTGGGATGCAGCGGGGCTGTCAGTCTCTGTAGGATTGCAGCAGGGATTTTGGGGTTGGGTAGAGGAAGGGAAAAGATGAAACTCAAGTCTTGGCTCCATCACCTGTGCCACGATGCACAGCACCATAGATCAGTCCCGGCAGGAGGAGTATTTGGAATCGGGGCTCTGTACCCACATACAACCCTGTGGTCCTGCTCTGCCTCTTGGCTCCCTCAGAGCAGCTTTAGGCTGAAGGTCCCTCTGCTCAGGAGAAGCAATAGTGCTGGTCACCCTGTGGGTCTCTGGGAGGAGTGAGCTCCCACCTTCGTGGGGCAGAGCCATCGGAGCTGCTCTCTTTTTAAGTTCAGCCCTGTGCCAATCTCATCTCGAGTGACATGGGAGGGAGGTAGATGTGACATTAGAAGCCATTTTCCAGGCTCCTGTCACTCCATCTTACATAGCACATCTGTTAAAAAAGCCTTTAATAGCCTTCTCAGAAGGTAATTTAATTGAATTGAATTGATGGGTGAATTACAGAGCTGCCTGTCTTTCTCTATCCATTTTCACGGGAATTTACTTGCTCTTTCATTCTATCTTTGATTTGCCCAAAGTCAGGCTTCAATCATCACATTCTCCTTGGACACAGCCTTTCCCCCAGCAGTACAGATGCTTTCCTGCCAGGTGGATCCCTGGCAGCTGCACAGACTCTTCAGTCCTGGGACCGAATGCTCAGCTTGTCACATGAAGGGCATGACAAGTCCTTAGTGTCACCCAGGTTGCTTTACATCCAGGGTTGGATGGGCACCTCTGCAGATAAACCCTCCTGGGATCCAGGCAGAGGATTTCCTTCAGACAGCCTAGAAATAACTCCTGCAGGGATCCTGTGGCCAGGCTGGAAATAACCCAGGGACTTTCAAGGCTATAGCCATTATCATTTCCATTTAGGACCAGTAAAAATTAGGCTTCATTTTTCATTATTCTGTGTTGCTTCTCTACCCCGTGGTGTTTGTTTCCATGTATTCTGTGCAGTGATGGCTTTGGGCTGGGTTTGTGCATCACTCGTGGATAATTTTCAGCTCGCTGGTTGTCTGGAAGAGCAGTTTGTCTCCTCCCTCTGCCTGAAGCATAATCGGCTCTAGAGCATCTCTATAACAAACGTGATCCATGTTCTGCCTTGAGAGCTTTGAGGGTCTTGTAGAAAATCCACCAGGAATGGCTGCAGTGAGTGTTTCCTTGTGTTTGGGCTCCAGTACCCCCAGATTTCCCAGCGGATGCTGTGGAAGTCAGTCTCTTCCTGGCCTGAAAGCTCTTCCTCCTTCGGCTGTGTCTTAATAACAAAGAGTAGGTAGGTGCTATCACACCCTCTGGGAGCACTTAGGAGTAGCACCACAACAGCAGAGGTGTATGTTTGCTCATAAGTGATTATTAAATGACAAAGCCCTGTAATTTCAGACCTTGAAAATCACTGCAGTGTTTTACTTGACCCCTGAATTAATAGTGATTAGGGTGTCAGAGGCTGCTGGGAGAGCAGAGAGGTGCTTTGTGGCCAATGCCAAGCATGGATGTGAAGCCTTCCCACAGCTCCTCCACAGACAGCCTTTGAATCCTGAGTGTGCTCATCAGCTTCTGCTGCACAGCCCAGATCCTGCACCAGCCATTTCCTCCTTCTTCCCCTATCCTGGGGAAACTGAGCAATTACTCCATGAACTGATGACATCCTGAGGAAACAGGCACTGGTAGGTGGGCACAGTGTCTCACACTGCCCTCACTCCTGCTTTTTGCTGTTTCCTCTCCAGGGCCTGAAGCCTATGGACCATAATGGTTTGGCTGATCCATACGTCAAATTGCACTTGCTTCCTGGAGCCAGTAAGGTCAGTTGCTTTTTCACTTCTTCCTTTTCCAGGGCTGTGCCTTTCCCTTTGAAATGAGACCAGGGAGGTTCCCCAGGGAGAAGCGTTTCACCCGGGGTTCCTGGTTGCTCAGCCAGACCTTGGGTCTCCTGCCCAGTTCTCACTCAGGTGAGCAGGAGAGAGCAGCAGCAGGAGGGAGGAACTGGGGCTAGAAGCATCCTTGGAGGGGCAGCAAGTACCTCTATGAAAAATCCCTGCCTGGGAGCTGGGTGCCAGCCCTGACTCCTCACCCTTGGGAGCAGGGGGTACAAACACTGTGCTCAAGAAGCCCCCATAAGCCTCCAAGTAAAATGATCTGCATCTATAAACAAACCAGCTCCTTTTCCTCCCCCCCCTTATGCATTTAAAACCCCTCAGATCATAATCAAGTGGAGTGTAAATCGTAAGGGAAATATTTCCATCTACTTAGGCTCAGCTTTTGCTGGAGAGAATAGTAATTAAAGATATTGATGTGTAGTGAGAGCTTGGTGTAACTGATGGTTATGTTGAATTTAAATGCTAAATGTATCTGTTATGAATATTAATTGCACCCTTATTTTACAGTAAAGGAAAGACCTTTTTGGGGGAGGTATATTTACTTGTTACGGTTCAGTTGAATTAATTCATAATGTTAATGTAGAGGGAGTTTTTAACCACGTTTCAAGTTCTGCTGGAAATAGGAGAGCCAGGAGTGCTTTCATCAGTGATATTATCTGTCATTTCCATGTTTTGCAAATGCATTGATTAGCATTTCTGCTGGAGGTGATGGAGACCAGAGAGGTGGGAGGGAAGTGCTGAGCTGAGGATAGGGCAGGAGCTGCAGACTCCCCAGGCCCAGAGCAGCTGTGGAGGGACCCCCCTCCCTCTGCCTCCCTGCTCCATGTGCCTTGTTTCCAAACAGCCCTGCCTGAATCTGCTCTGGGAGAGGTGAGCAGATGGGTGGATGGTGGATGGATCCTGGGCTGGATGTTTCTGCACAGTCGTTGCAGCAGCAGGATGGTCCCCAGGTCCCTCTGGTGTTTCTGTCCATGGGCTCTTGGACAACTATGGGAGCCCAGGCAAGAGCCATGAGAAGCAGGGTGGGATTCATTCCCCTCACGCAGAGGTCTCCATGTGAGCTATTTACTGACTAGTGAGTCATTCCAGATGGGAGAGAAAGGCACTCCCAGAGCTCCGCTCCTTTGACTTAATTTGGGCTGCTTTCCCAGGGCAGGGTTAGGTGCTGGGTGATGCCCATCGTGTCACCCCTTCCCCTTGGCTAAACCCACTTTAGCTCTTCCTGCACTGGGAGCTCCTCCAGCCAGTGACCATGCCTAGTCAGTGTGGAAGAGGTTCTGTAATGGGCCTGGGGAACCAAAGATGGGGAATGTAGCAGCTTCCCATGAAGATGTATGACACAAATTTGAAGTATAAATTTCCTAAGAGTTCCTTACACCCAGCAGTGGCTGAGGCAGGGATTGAACTTTATGACTTCACACCTAATTAGAGGGGAAAATTGCTGCTCTGTCAGGCTGCCCCAGGCTGGAGGGGTTGATGGAGAAGCTCCATCCACTATCTGCAGCCCCTTCCTTCTGCTATTCCTCTGTCCCCAGCAGCAGCAGGTGGCTCAGGGGGTAAGAAGATTGTTGTTCCCTGACCTGGGGGATGGGGTGTGGCCCAGGATGTCCCATCCATGCTGGGGCCACAAGCAGCTAGAAGAGCCCCACTGTCCCTGACCTCCCACTCTTCAGAGCTGCTGGAAGTGCTAATAAAATGTGTATCAAGGCAGTTATTTTGAGTCAGGCAGGAATGGGAGCTGTGCTGGGAGCAGGAATACAAATAAACAGCCAGAAAAGCAAATTGGTATTTTTTAATGAACCTGAAGACTCTTTTTTTTCCCGTTTCTCTCTTGCTGCATAAATGCACCCCCCACCCTCTCACTGTGCTCTGCCAAGACTCCTGCTTTGCTGGCAGTTTCCAGCATGTGGGATGCAGAGCTGGATTGCTTTGCAAATGAGCCAGTGGGTCCCTGTGTCTCTGCCCCTCTGCTCATTGCTGCAGTTGGGATGGTTTTGCGCCACCCCCCTGAGGACCGAAGGGTGTCAGCACCCGTTGCCTCCTCATCCCCAAACTGTGCTTCCCTTTCTCCTCCCTCCTCCCTGCCCATCGGTGCCCAAAGGATCACCTGGGGCCACGTCCCACTGACCACCATCTCCTTGGCTTTTCCAGGCGAACAAGCTGAGAACCAAAACGCTGCGCAACACCCTGAACCCCACCTGGAATGAGACACTCACCTACTATGGCATCACCGACGAGGACATGATCCGCAAGACCCTGCGGTAGGGCCCGGGGGGTGGGCAGGGTGCTGAGCAGGGTGCTGAGCCTGGCACTGGCATGGGGACCTGTGTCCTTTCCCATCTCTTCGGGGCCACCCCAGGCATTCCTCCCCATCCCAGTGACAATGTTCCAGGGGAGCTCATAGAGACCCCCCACTCCAGCCCCACAGGACAGTCCTGGCCAGCAGAGTTATTACCCACCAAAGCCTGGAACGTGCCCTGCACGCATCCATCACCACCATGGTGACCAACACTTGATTTACAGGGAGCTGGGGATGGCACAGCTGATGAGGAGCATGGTCCTGCTTTGTCATTAACTTCATAACTCACTGGCTGGGCTCCTGCCTGCAGAGCTGTTCTGATTTGGTTTTAACCTCTTTGTGCCCAGCTCTCATGGGCACTTGTTAAGGCTTTGCTGAGAAAATCTCCCTGGGAAAGCTCTGGGCCCCTTTCAAGGCTGATTTATTATTTTTTTTTTAAGAAAGCTGGAGGCATCCATGAATTATTGTCAAATTACATTAAGGGCATTTGTATGTATTTATTCTGTTGTCTTCGGTTTGGTTCAGAGCATCTCCTGGCAGCACCTCCCAGGGCTGGGGATGTTGCTTGGGGCTGGGGGTGGGCAGGGGCAGCGTGGTGGGGCTGTGTGGGCTTGGAGGTGCTGCTTCTTGGCCACTCTCCCACTGAGGCAGTGGAGCCGTTATTACCCACCAAAGCCTGGAACGTGCCCTGCACGCATCCATCACCACCATGGTGACCAACACTTGATTTACAGGGAGCTGGGGATGGCACAGCTGATGAGGAGCATGGTCCTGCTTTGTCATTAACTTCATAACTCACTGGCTGGGCTCCTGCCTGCAGAGGTGTACTGATTTGGTTTTAACCTCTTTGTGCCCAGCTCTCATGGGCACTTGTTAAGGCTTTGCTGAGAAAATCTCCCTGGGAAAGCTCTGGGCCCCTTTCAAGGCTGATTTATTATTTTTTTTTTAAGAAAGCTGGAGGCATCCATGAATTATTGTCAAATTACATTAAGGGCATTTGTATGTATTTATTCTGTTGTCTTCGGTTTGGTTCAGAGCATCTCCTGGCAGCACCTCCCAGGGCTGGGGATGTTGCTTGGGGCTGGGGGTGGGCAGGGGCAGCGTGGTGGGGCTGTGTGGGCTTGGAGGTGCTGCTTCTTGGCCACTCTCCCACTGAGGCAGTGGAGCCTACAGATGGGTCCTGCAGGGTGGCCTTAGCCACTCCATCACCCCTCTGATCTGGGACAGCTGCACAGGAGGATTTGCTGCAAGATCTCCTGTCAAATAGAATTTTGCATCGTGTTCCAAGGACTCCAGGCTTTGTCAGCTCTGTGGCTGGAATCCCACCTTCCCTATTTGCAGGTACCCTGGGAATTTATTGTTTTCCCCACGACAAGTGCACAAAGCTCCCTTGTAAAAGATCCTGCTTGGAGGTGCATTTGGGCAGAGCCCACCTGTTGTTTGCAATGTGCATATTGATGAGAAATTTAGTGCCACAGATTATTATTTCACATGGAAAATATTAGTCATGCTGGAAGTGCTGCAGGCTGGTTGGGCTGGGAAGCCTCCTTTATTGTTATTATTGGTAGGTATTTTGGTTTTTCATTTTTTCACTCCAGACTTTGAAGTTTTCAACCTCTTGAAGCATAGAAATCAGTTTGTAGGGAGATGTTCAGCAGAGTTGTTTGCTGAAATGCATCAGGGAGCAGAGGGGCTTGATCCCCACCTTTATGGGGATCTGGTAGCTGCTTCTCCCCAGGAAGGGCTGCAGTTGCTCGATTCGGGAGCTACAAATGCCTGTGTGGGCTGGGCTGGCTTTGCCCTTCTCCCCACAGAAATCCCTCATTAGCATGTCCCCAGTCCTGCCCACCAGCCTGGGCACTGCAGGTGCTCTCTGGGGAGCCAAGTGTGGCCACAGGCTCAGCCTTTGGGGTTCCTTGGGCCCCTCCAAAGCCAAACGCCATGGACCCTGTCCCTGGGGTGATAACCTGGGGATCCCCTCACTCCATGGAAGGACATGGCTGAACAGAGACAGTGTTTCTGTCTTGGGAGCTCAGGGCCTTGCAGCAAGGTTTGTTCATGACTCCCTCCAGAGAAGAATTAAAGAAAAAAAACTTCTGGATGGAGAAATTTCCCAGCTGGCACCTCTGCTATGGGACTCTCACTTGAAGTGTGGGCCATCTCCTCCCCTGGCTGTGGTGGGTCCTACAGGGAGGGTTTCAGCCTCTTTTGTCTGGACCTCAAAAACTTTTCTGGTCAACATTTTCTGATTCCTTTAAAAAAATGTTCCATACACAGCTGGCTGCATTTCTTGCCTTGCACAGGGGAGCCAGAGCCTAAAATTCAAGTTCTCTTCTTTTTTCTTAAAAGCATTTTCCTTAAGTCTTTTCTCCATATTTGCAATTGAAGATATTGGCAATGGAGATTTTATTTATCCTGAGGCAGGTTTGGATGAGATGAGACTTCTTGCAAACCAACAAGGTAGAAAAAAATCCATCTTTTATTCTTTGCTTAGATTTTCTTATTTTCAAACACTGGATATCTAAGTAGAAGGACTCGAAGTTGAGAAATGTTGCATCTCCTCATTTAGGTACCTCCTGAATTGTGTCCTCCCTGCCTGGCTGGGGAGGGATCTTTGGTTTCTGTGTGGAGGGTGGGATGGGCCAGGGTTCCTGGTGGCTGATGCTCCCCAAAAAATCTTTACTTTGGTGTGGGCTGAGCTGTTTCTCATTTCTGAGCCTCTCCACACCACCAGTGGCAATGGCCCTTCTCCCTCCCAGTGCCACTTCCCACAGGAAGAATCTCCCATGCCATGTCTTGTCCTGCCTTCGGTTGCTTCACTTTGCCCACCTTTCATCTCAGCAAAATGTGTCCTTGTCTGCCAGGAAAGCCCCCCAAAGCTGGGGCACCCCAGCTCTCCCTGCGCAAAACAGGTGAGGCTCCTGCAAGGCTGGGGAGTTGAAAGAGCATGAGTGATGCTCTACTTGGTCTGGGAGCTGATTGTTCCCCAGGAGCCTCCTCAGTGCTGGGATTCATGGAGAGGCAGGGAAGGAGATTGCAAAGTCTCTTTAATGTAAAAATCATGGCAGAGATCAAAGCTGCTGCCAGCCCCTGCCTCCCTGCTGCCTGCTGAGCGTGTGATGCAGTGGAAAAGCTGAAGAGCACCTGAAAATCTTCCCTGCCCCTCTGTGCTCCTGGTGGGATGTATCCAGCATGAGCTGGTGTGGGGGTGTTGGCATGGGGCACTTTGCTTGTGCCTGCAGCCCTCCTGGGGGGGAGGGCAAGTGGGATTTAGCCTCATCACAGGGGAATCCTCTGACTCCTGGGGAGCTGAGTTATGGATCCACTCTTGCCTGAGTCCTCCACCCCCACCCCGTGCCCCAGTAGGCTGCCCCCCCATCCTGTGTGGCTTTATCTGAGCTGGTCAAGTGACTTTGCTGTGACAGACCCAAGTCCTGGAGCCACTGGGATTCACCTCCCCAAGCAGGGAGAAGGAGAGGTGAAGGCAGCCCAGCTAATTGCACCAGCAAGCAGGATTTTGTTAATGAACCAGCCCCCTCAAAAACCACCAGATCCTTCAGATTTCATGCAGCGCAGCAGGTGGGAGGATCTTGAAAGGTCTCATCCATTCATTAAATTAAATATCCTTGAGTCTGGCCCAAGACTCAACAGCAATGAAACCACCCACCATCCTGAGAGAAGGCAAATTCAGAGCCACTTGAAAGATGCTGGGATGGGTGGGATTTGGGGCAGGTCCCCTGCCAGCATCAGGGGTAAATCCCACCCTGCAGTCCTTGCTCTGTCTGCTGCTGGAGCGTGGCTGGGCTGGACAGGCTCACCTGTGGTCTCTGGTGATGGGAAGCTGGGGTTGGGGGTGAGGGGACAGAGAAATGCTGCAGGGGAAACTGGGATAGGCAGAAGGCAATCACCTGCATTTAAATAATATATGTAACATGCAATAAATAGATTGTATTAATAATAAATATCAGAGCTGGCCAGATATTAGACACAATTATTCATATCCAGAGATATTGGCGAAGTGATGAATTATTCATCTGATACTTAGCTAGCCCACGAATGCCAAGAATTCTTTGTTTAATCATGTGTTTGACAAACATAATGACTCATTAAATATATTATTCAGAAAATAGTATTTGATCAGGTCTAATAGGTGAACTGCAGACACTCAGGGATTCAGGCTGTGCCCCTGAAGCACTGAATGAGGTTTGCTCTGGAACTGCAGGGACACTTGTTATTGCATCCAACTTCTACTGTGGTTTCTGTGCTTAGATTTTGAGGCATTTTGTGATGGAGCCCAGCACTGAATCCTCCTTTTGGTTTTAGGAGAGCTGGACAGTCCCAGGATGCTGCATTTTTCCGTTTTCTCCCCTTGCCAGGCATGGCCTGTTCTTAAGCCAAGCAGGCATCACCTGTATGTCTGCTCTCCCACCCAGAGTTGCTCCCAAGTTGCTATAGGGACCATAAGAGATCTTAAATACAGGAGATGCATCTTCAGACTCTGCTGCCTATTACGTAGATGTGTGTTATGGAAAAGGGTCCTTGTTGACCCCCATTCTTCCCTTCCCATGGCAGGAAAGGGGCCGGAGGAAGGTGTGTGTGAGCAGGAGCCGTGAGTCAGCGGCGTGGGGCTGCTGGAGCTGCGCGGTGAGTCAGGACTGGAACCCGGGAGCCCGGGCTGAGTAGGAGGGAGAGTAAGTTTAATGAGCAGTGATTGTTCACTTGCTGCTTATTTTTGTTCCACAGCCCTTAACTTAAAGATTGGGACCCCTCAGTGGAAGTTGTCAAATCAAAAGCTGAGCTCAGGGACAAGGGAGGGGTGATGTTCGAGCTAATGGGCTGGGGACGGCAGGTGAGCGTGGCTGCTGGAGGCGTCTCTTGCTGTTTGTCATGGAGCTGATTTTCTAACCCAGGGCATAAAAATTCCATCACATCGATTTCTGGTAATAAAATTCAAGCTGGTATAATTGCATTATGTCTGTTTCCAAAGGGAGGGCTGGGGCCAGAGCTCATCTGAGTCAGGCTTGCTGACTTCCCAGCTGGGGCACCAGCCTGCCCGAGTGAAACGTAGTGACCCAGAGAAGGGGAACTGCAGCCAGGCAGAGGGACTGGACTTGGAGTCTAGGGACTGGGAGGGCTGACACAAAACTCTACCTCTGAGCCATCTCTGGTCATTGTGCAGGGATGGGAACAAAGTGTTGAGGACCCACCTGCGAGGTGGCCGGGGATGCTAGAGGGAAAAATGGGGCCAGGAGAGAGCTGCAGTGTGTCTGGCTCTATCGTGCAGATTCCCTATCAGCACCAGGGGTAAATCCCACCCTTCAGTCCCACTCCCAGGAAACTGGACATTGCTGTTGGAATCTTATTGGGCTTTTGGGGTGTATCTAGACATTGTTGGAGGGGGAAGATTCTATTACTTATGTTCTTCAGAGGTAAAACCAGCACCAACCCCTGCCTCTCCTCACTCTGCGATTGCTGGGTGTAAAAACAGCCCCTGGCTGTCGGTCCTGGGAAGGGCCTGGCTCTGCTCCCCTGCAGCCCCTGCCCTCCCAGAGCTGCAGCCAGATGGGTGTGGGGTTGTGCACGCCTGGCGAGTGCCACTTCTTGCCTAGAGCTGCTGCTGCTCCTTTTTTCAGTTTAGTTCAAGAGAGAGGCAAGAGGAGGAAGGGAAGTAGGAAGTACTGAGCCTGCATCCTCTTTGGGGATTTTACTGTTATGGTGGGGTGGTTTTTTCGCAGGTATCTATAGTAACGCTGCATCCAGCTACGGTTTTCTGAAGAGCAGCATTCCCTGCCTTCCCACTTGTATTTTTTTTTTTTCCAAACTCTCTTCCTCTGCCACTCCCTGGCCCTGACAGTCCTCGTGCCACGAGACTGAGCCATCCCTGTGGCTCCCTCACCACCTTCTTACTCAGTTGTGAGCATGAGGGTGGTTAGACCATCCATGGATTGGCAAATGTGTGCAATTAGTTACTCTGTGGCTGGATCACAGGGCACTATTTATCTTTAATTGCTTTTTACCCATTCCAGAACAGGCCCCAGCAATGCAGAGCTTAGTCCCTGAGGGCAGAGGTGCCACCTATAAGAAACAGGCACCTGGGTGAAAGAGAGACAAAAAAATCAGGCAACAAAAGGTTGGGAAGACACTGTAGGAAAATTTAAAAAAAACCAAACACACACACAAAAAAAAAAGAGATAAAAGAGAGAAGGGAAGGTAAATGTCTTTCCTTTATGGACACAGCTCCTGGCTGTGCTGCTGGGGGATGGATGGTCCCTCATAAGGCATCCACCACCCTCCTGGCTCCCTCTGGGATTTCAGGAGCTGTGAGCAGAGGTTCCCTGCAAGCACTAACTTTACTTTTCTGTCGTCTCTCCTGACGCCCAGAGCGGGCTGGGAAGCAGCAGAGAAATGACTCATTAGCTGCCAGCTCAGGGAAAGGCATTTATAGCTCTCACATAGCAAACAGCCCTCGCTTAGCGTCGCCGCCACTGCCTGTGGATGCAGGCAGGACCTGACAGGGCTGGGAGAGCTTTGCTTGGCCAAATCCTTCCTGGTCTTGTCTGTGTGGTGGGAGAGGACGTGGAGGACCTGCTTCATGTTCCTGACCAGGCAGCCAGGTCCCCCACACCAGGGGACACCCTAAGAGTGGGAGGGAGGGAGCTATGCACAGAGGCACCTTCCCCTGGCCCTGCAGCCCAAGGGTGGGCTCAGGAAGAGCCTCCTCCTCCAAAGGGCAGGATGCAGCTGGGCTGGCCGTGGCTCAGGAGAGTTTTGCTTTAGTCACCAAGGCCTTCATGGAAGAGCCGTTAGGATGCTTGAGGCTCTGGGTTGCTTTTTTGACATCAGGATGTGTGTTACATCAACACTGGCCTGGGGAGCTGTGGCCTCAAAGTTGACCCCTCACTGGGGGGACTTGCAGTGCAAGGGAGCAGCCCCTTTCCTCATGCCATTTCCTGCCCTCTCCCCGATGGCCCCACTCACTCTGTGCTTGTTGTAGGATCTCAGTTTGTGACGAGGACAAGTTCCGCCACAACGAGTTCATCGGGGAGACGCGGATCCCATTGAAGAAACTGAAGCCTAACCAGACCAAAAACTTCAGCATCTGCCTGGAGAAGCAGCTGCCAGTGAGTGTGGGGGTGTTCAGAGCAGTGTCCCCAAACGGGAGCCTGTGGATATGTGGGAGTTTGGCCCCTCAAACCTTATCAGGGGTGGGGACAGGATTCCTCACACTGGGTAAGCGGGTGTCTGGCCTTGGCTGTGTCCCAGAGCAGCCCCCAGACAGGATGTGTTCCCTCCCCCAGATAGATAAAACAGAGGACAAGTCTCTGGAGGAGCGTGGCCGGATCCTCATCTCCCTCAAGTACAGCTCCCAGAAGCAGGGGCTGCTGGTGGGCATCATCCGCTGCGCCCACCTGGCTGCCATGGATGCCAACGGCTACTCCGACCCCTACGTCAAAACGTGAGTGGTGCCCCACAACCCACCAGCCCTCTGACAAGTCTCACCTCTCCCTGCAGTGGAAATTAATTTTATCTCATCAGGAGATGCAAATGAGGGCAGCACAGCAGCAGCTCATATTCACCTGGAGCACGCTGTTCCCCAGTGGTTACTTCACAGGGTTTCAGAGCAGGGTGGCTGCAGAACCTGCCCAGTGCTGTGTCCCCACACCAGGGCAGTGCATTGTCCCCAGGCTGGTGCAGCAGTGGCCATGGTGCCCCCCTGCCACGCTCACCACTGCCTGCCAGCACTGCCTTTGCTTGGGAGAGGGTCTGTGGCAGGGACATGGGCCTGCTGACAGAACTGGAGCCCAAAGTGGGTGGGTATCAGGTTTTCTGATGGCACAGCCCCAGCCTTGCGGGGTGGGCCCCATACAGCAGCCTGGGGCTGGGCATCCCCTGAGCAGGGCAGTGCTTGTGCCCCATGGTCCTGGGCCTTGCTCAGCACCTGGATTTTCTTCCCAGGGATATCTCCAGCCTCTTTTTCTCTTTGATGATGAGGATGGCTGCTGGGTCAGGTGGTATCCTGGCTGGTACCATTGGGGCACAAGCATCCCCCCTCCCAGCCCCAGGGGACAGGCAATTAATTGTCCCCTTCCTCAGCTCCCAAGAGGCTTCCAGCCCAGCTCCCAGCCTGACTCCCAGCACAGCAGCACAGCTACCACCCTGAGCTTTGGAAAGGCCCTAATTACAACGTGTATGTAATTAGGTCAGACAGCACTTTAATCGCAGCCCGTGGCTCCTGAGCCTGGTTAATGGAGCTGAGGGCACATTTGCAGGTCCCACTGACAGTTTCCAGTGTAAATGACTGGGAGAATCTTCCTTTTGAAAAATACCAGCAATATTAATAGAAAAAAAAAAAAGAAGAAAAAAGCCATTAAAATGACTGTAATGAGCTGCTGTGACTCGGCCTCCCCCAGGGGATTCAGGCAAGTCGGTGACATCCCGAGGCTGCTGAGGAAGGTGCTGCTTTGCTGCTGAGGGTCCTGCAGCCACAGCTCCTGGGTTTTTCTGGGACAGGATTTTCAGATTCACTCTCTGCAAAGCAAGGGGGGGCCACGGCGAGGAAGGGCCAGCAGCCCCCTGCACCCATCCCACATCCCTGTCCCCAGTGTGCTGACCCAAACTTTGGCACTTTCAGGGTTATTTTTTAAGGCTTACAGGGATACACGTGGCTGAGAGGCCAGTGATGGAGGTCATGGCTTTTGCCTTTCTATTTAATTGTTCTTTAGGAGGTGGTTGCATAAAAATCCACTTGCTTTTTTTTTAAATGCTCATCAGAAGCTCAGGCTCTCAAGTAACATCATTCCTGTTGATGTACACAGTGGTTTTGTTGGTGCTCCTTGTGCTATCTGCAGTAGATTGTATCTGCAGGGCTTGAATCAGAGCAGATAGACAAAAGATGCTGCTCAGTACGAGCCCTAATTTTTTAATTATGAGCAAGGTCTGGCAAGTGTAACGAGGAAGCAGAACAGGTGTTTAAAGGAGCAGCACCAACACTGATGGATGGACTTTGGCCTGGCCCAGATTTCAGGTGCCCTCTGCCTGATGACCCTTTAATCTTGTTAGCTTTTTGGCCCTGCTGCTGCACTGCAAAGTATCTGCAGGAACGAGCATAAACCTGCAGCCCCTGCACTTGCTCCCTCTTACACACCTGCGGGTGGTCTCGGTCTCCTGGCAAGGCTCTGGATGAGCAGACTGGTTACATGGTTCCAAGTCTGGACTGGTTCTGGGCTGAGAGTGTTTGATTTTGGAAGCTTGGAGCGTGTGTGTGGTGCCACTGTCCCCTAGGGACTGGAGATGGGATAATTGGTGCTCTCTGATGGCAACCAGTGACTCCCCTTGTGCTAAGGTGGGGAAATGCTGCTTCCAGCCAGCTCCATCCCTTGACAGGGGAGGAGGGAGCAGGTTGAGGGGGCTTAGCCTCCATCTCACCCCCTGTGATGTCTTGGTTTGGTTGCAGTTACTTGAAACCAGATGAGGACAAGAAATCAAAGCATAAGACAGCAGTGAAGAAGAAGACGCTGAACCCTGAGTTCAATGAGGTGGGTTTTCACTGGCTGGTCCCAGCCCCTGCAGGAACCCAGCACAGGTTTGTCCTGACTCTGTCTCTGCTCCCAACAGGAGTTTTGCTATGAGATAAAGCACGGTGACCTGGCAAAAAAGACCTTGGAAATCACAGTGTGGGACTATGATATCGGGAAATCAAATGACTTCATAGGTGAGTGGGACACTCCAGTTCTCCTTGGCTTTTTTTTTTTATTTTCACCTTCTGTGCCTCTTTCTTCATCTGCTTCTCTTATGGACTTATCCAGCCTCCTGCTTTGTTCTCTATCCCCTCACTCATTCTTACTGGGTTTCTGTTCTGCATTTTTCTGTCTACTGCACCCGAGCCTCCTCCCCTGTCCAGACCCACTGCTCCTTCATGTCTGAAGTGCAAGGAGCACCCAGGCAGGGAGAAGATGCATTTCCCTCTCCCTTCTGTTTTCAGACTTTTCTTCTGATAAAAACCAGCTTTAATGGTGAGGTTTCATTTTTCTCTGTTGAATGTCTAGACTTCTTGTGATTTTGTTACTGGCCACAGTGATTTCTTGGTAACAGGTGTTCAGTAGTTCTGGCAGCCTTTGAAACTGCAATGAGCATCCAGCCCTTGGCAGCACCACAAGCTGCCCGGGGCAGGTCCCAGGCCACAGCCACCAGGGGCTGGGGAAGCCGGGCTGTGATCACCTGTGTGTGTCACATCAGGTAGTGGCACCACGACACTGGCTGACTGACCTGGCTCCATCCAGCATTCCCTCAGCATCCCTCTCAGGGCTGGTGCTGACCCCCCCACTCCTCTCTCTGTGTCTCCAGGTGGAGTGGTGTTGGGAATCAATGCCAAAGGCGAGCGCCTGAAGCACTGGTTCGACTGCCTGAAAAACAAAGACAAGAAGATCGAGCGCTGGCACACACTGACCAACGAGCTGCCGGGCGCCGTCCTGAGCGACTGAGCACCCTGGGCTGCTCCTGGGCAGGACCAGTTCCACAGCCACAGCCTTTGGACTTCTCTCCTTTATGGCTTTGGAGTCAGGGGATCGTGGTACCGGGAGAGTGGGACACCCCACGGCACAGCAGGGCTGCAGGGAAACCCTGCCAGGGACCGAGGCAGCGAGGTTTGCTCTGCTCAGCAGGTCCTGTCCCCTGAGGCTTTTCCAAATGCCTCTTTGCACCGTGACACACTCACACATGTGCATACACACACACACACGTGTGCACAGGCACTCAGACACCACGCACCTGCATGCACTGCAGCTCTGACTCCTCACTCTTTGCTATACTGAACTACCTTCTCGCTGCCTTGCAACTCAGTGGCAAAAATGAATGCATCAGTCTCCGTTCGTGTATCTACTATGAGCAAAAGGCGTCACTAAAACCTGGAACTCTTCCTCAAGGCAATTGTGCCATATTTCTGGTGGTTTGTCAGTCTCTGTGGTTTGGGCCTAAACAGTCTTTTATGCATTTAAAGCTCCTCCGTTGGAATGATTGTGTCCCCTGATAACCTAGGAAGACTGTCTGCTTTTCTTCCAGAGATGTCGTGCTTGTCCTCTCCAGTAACACAGTGAATTGCCCAACAAGCTGGAAGTGCTGCACAGACCACGGGTTCCCTCTAGACCTCCCCACGATCGAGTGGCTTCACATTTGCAGAAGTGGGGAGGTAAAATAAAAAGCTCAGTGAAGCCACCACCTGTTCCTCCTTCCCAGGACCATCAGCCACTCTCCTAACAAAAGCATTCCTTCCTGCCAGGAGCCAGGCTTCCCCACAGCTATTTTTTTTCCACCCAAGCCAGTTTTCAGGCTAAATTTTTCTATCACTTTTCCCTTATCCATCCTTCTCCAATTCACCTAAACCCCAACCAAGGCGCTCTACACTGCGAACTGGTGACATGCAGGAAGCCAAGCCAGCGTCGTGGTTGCAGAGATGCTCAGTTGGTCCATTTTCTGCCTCAAATAGTGTCCAAACCAAATTTCTTTGTACAGCACAGTAATAATAATATCATTATTATTATAATCATCCCAGCTATCATCCTCAGTGACCCAACCTGGTTGGTTTCTGCAGCCTCATCCCACCAGGCGCTGACTCTTGAGCAAACATGATGATGTTTGCACAAGAGTCGGCGCCCGGTGGGATAAGCTGAATCTTCCTGCAAAGTGCTGCACCTCACCTCTGATTTTCTCCTCTGTCCTTCACAGGGAATCTGGTGCCCGCTGCACCATGCTTCCTATAATTTTAAATCAAGGACACATTTGTTGATGTACTGCTCACTTCGGGACACACCGCTCATTCTTCTTCCTTTTGCTGCCTTTTATTTTCATCCTTTTGAGTTTGACCTAATCCAGCTGCTTCTTCCAGGAAATCTTCAAGTTCTGGATAACTGGCAAAGATTTCGTTGACTTCAAAGCTACAGAGGCTGTCATCCACATCACTGAGGGTCATCTGGAGAGCAGAAGCTACATCATTTTTGTCCTGTGCAACTGGCGGTAGACTGGTTGATGCCTCTTGGTCCACAAAAGGAGTCTTCTCCTCACAAAAAGGAAAGTATCTTGGAGAAGAAGGGATGCCTGAAAATCTTGTGTTAAACCATTTCTCCAGATGTCCATCAGACACTGACTTCCATTGACACAGTGTTTTTCACAAACCGGTGCCTGGTGAGTTGAGCTGAATCTTTCTGTGAAATGCTGCACCTCACCAGAAGTTTTTGAAGCCTTTAAACCCCAATTTCTTGGGAAAAGCTGCTCTTTTCCCATCAGTCTCAATTACCTTCAGTTTCTGAGCTGTTTTTTTTTTAGGAAACCAAACAGATCTCTGGAAACCTACATTTACTTTTCAAAGTGATGATCATGTTAAACCTTGTTTGCTATGGAGGGGAAAACAACACCCAACAATGTTCATAAGGTCTTTTTTAATAACTTAATATTTGTAATGCATTCTACAGATATGCATGGATTTTTATTTGAATGCCAGCAGTGAGTCAAGTAGGACATTCCTGGTAATCCTCTGTCTGTCACTGGTCCAGCACATGGAAACCTCATTTGGCTCTGAGCTTCCAGGGGAGCGTCGGGTCGACTGTGCCTCCCTGTTGTTGCTAAGTTACCTTCAATCCATCATTTGTTTCAGCCCATCTTGCCATGAAATGCTCATGCCTGTGGTGGAGTAGGACACATGTGTGTGTGGGTGTGTGTGGGTTCCTCCACTTTGTATCCCAGTCTTTTCTAAGCGGATGGTCTGTCTGTCCATCCCAGCTGCATGCAGAGTGGTCGTCATGCCAGGCCTTGTGATATGTTTGATACTGATGTTTTGCTACCATGTGAAGGCTGCAGAAACTGTCCTTACCTGCATCCTCAACGACTTTTGTATTTTGGTATTATCTGTGTTACTTTTTGTCAGATCTGTTACTATTTATAACAATAACTCAAAATAAAAAGGGAAAAGAAAAAAAACGGTCAGTGCCAGTGGTGCAGATTTGGGGTCTTGGGGTTCATGAGCTCAGTGTGTCACAGGAGATGTGAGGTGAGGAGTTGGCGCCTGTCATGGGCTCAGGGAGCAGAAGATGGTTTTAAACCAGAGGACTGGGAGCTGCTTGGCTTTACTGTCCCCTCTCAATCTCTTGCTGTTGTGAAAAAAAACAGTAACACTCTACGTGCAGTGGCTGCAGGTCCCCCTTCCACCAGGACCCCCACCCTGCCTCAGCAGGGACATTCACTCAGAAACTGCAAGTGCCAAAGGTGGAGGGTGGGAGGGGGGTTGGTCAAGGGAAGACTGAAA